GGGTTACGGATGGACTGTTTAGCTTTATCCTAGCTTAGCATTGGGGTCAGGATACGGGAATATTTAGCCTTCCTGGAATGATGCACAAGGCCACCTCCATTGCTGGGGTAGGGCGTTCCTCTTTGGAGGGCCATATATGTAATCCCTACCGGCCATTCCTGCAGCCCCTTAATGAAGACCGAAAAAAACTTTAAAAAGGCGGTTAAACTAACCCGATCTCAGGCACATGTGAGGGTTCTGGCGGCCAAGCAACATCTTTTACCCTAAACCGATGAACAGCCGTGATCCAAAACGGAGTTTCGCTGCTTGTCACAGTGAACAAACCAGCAGGCCAGTCATACCTTTCAGCGTCCACAGAATGAACTCACGCCTCGGCTGTTTTTGTGTTATTTTTCCAAAGGTCATTGACTGCACTTAGTTTACACGTGTTATCAGTCTATGCGGATCCGAGTTCCAGATGACCAACAAATGTGCGCTTCGCAATGTTAGCCTATTTATGGAGTCGAGGCAGAACAAAACTGTTGAGGGTCGCGCGATCCACAGGCAGCCAAGGCGTAAAAAACTGAGGAGAGCCGCAGCTTTGTGAAAACGTACGGCACGAAAGACGCCGTAGGCGTGAGATACGTGAAAAACTGACGACAACCCCGTGCTACCATACCGAATACAAAATTGCCTTAAGTTGAGCTGAAATACAAGCTTGGACAGAACAGAATTGCCGGCTAATAAATGCAATTCTAGTGGGTGATTGGACATTCTTTCACCAGTGCAGTAATGACGGTGGTGAAGAGTTCTTGAACGGTATGCATTTTTCAATCGATTATTCAAGATAACATGAGTTCCATCAAATTTTTACAAATCGGCACAGACATCGCAATTTCTATACAATTTTTTTTAGGAAAGAGCATATCCCCAAAAGTAGACTTGGCTATAACTACATAACACTAAACACTACTTATTTCTGCATTTGGGCCTAGGGCTCCCAGTGAACCGAGAACCCGGTACTCCAACTGGGTGGGGCACGGAAGCCAGAGGCTTAATAACCTACGGACT